CGCTGCTCAGCATCAGCGCAGACTTCTATGTGCGCGTTTTTGTTCGCGTCTTCACTGGCCAGGCCCACGTGAAGGCCTCAGCCAGGTCAGTCAGGGGGACTGGGCCAGGCCCCGCCTTGGGTGGGGGCTGTGAAAGAGAAGTGGGGTGGTGGCCTTGCTGAGCGCTCATAGCCCCCCTTTTGCTCCCAGCAAGCAGGCGCTAGTGTTCCAGTGCGTGGGCTGCGGCGCCTTCCACTTGCAGCGCCTCGGCAAAGTGGCCACGGCCTCCGGTGGGCGGTGAGCAAAGGCTGCTGGGAGGAAGGTGGAAAGGTGTCCCCGAGTCGCTGCCCATAACTACCTCCGGCCCCTGCAGGGTCAAGTTCTCTGCAGCCTGCGGTCCTCCTGTGGCTCCTGAGTGTGAACACTGCGGGCAGCGACACCAGGTAGGGTGAGGAGAGGGGCTCTGGGGCCCCAGGGGTCCGCGTGGCACCTGCTCATCTGTGCCCCGTGTGTCTGCAGCTCGGTGGCCCTATATGGGCAGAGCCCATCCATGACCTGGACTTCGTGGGACGCGTACTGGAGGCAGTCAGCGCCAACCCCTGCCGCTTCCATACCTCAGAACGGATCCAAGGGGTCCTGAGTGTCGTCACGGAGGTAAAGGCTGGGCTGAGACGGCGGAGGCTCCACCTCTGCCTGTCCCTTCCTCTGTCAACCCTCGCACCTCCTGCGTCTCCTCAGGAGCTTCCCGATGTGCCCCTCTACTACACTCTGGATCAGCTGAGCAGCACTATCCACTGCAACACGCCCAGCCTCCTGCAGCTTCGGTGAGGGAAGGGTGATGGGGAGGAGCCTGCGGCTGAGGACCGATTGGCCCTGAGCTGGTGGGTGGAGTCTAGTAGAGGGCAGACCAGAGGCGGGGCCTGCATCTGACCACTGATTGGCCGGTGGGCGGAGTCACCACACCCCCACCCCCTGGGTGCTTGCTTTATGATCACTGTATAGCTTTGCTTTGAGAGGCGCACAGTCCGGTCCACTTGACTCACCCACGTTAGCTGGACTCTGGGGCAAGCCTCGCTTTCACATTCCCTACTGGTCCCCAGGTCAGCCCTGCTGCACGCTGGTTTCCGGGTCTCGCTCTCCCACGCCTGTAGGAATGCGGTGAAGACTGACGCGCCCGCTGAGGCCCTCTGGGACATCATGCGCTGCTGGGTGAGCGCAGAGCCGGCCGAATGGGGAGGTGGGGAGGGCAGGCAGTGGTCTTAGCAAGGCCCTTTTTCCCCCAGGAGAAGGAGTGCCCCGTGAAGCGGGAGCGGCTGTCAGAGACCAGCCCGGCATTCCGCATCCTTGGTGCTGAGCCCAGGTAGGACCAGCAGGACTGCCACAGGCATGGGGGTGCTGTGCTCTACGCAGCCCACAGCCACTTCCTGCGGGGGCTCAGGCTGGGCTTCCAAATGCAGTCCAAACTCTGCCCACCTTCCCTGCCTTCTGTCCTTGCCCTGATCTTCTGCCACCTTTGACCCCCACCATCTGTCTTCTACAGCACCCCAGGGCACCCACGAATGAGTCCCAACGTGTCCCTTTGCTCAGAACCTGCCATGGCTCCCATCTTCCTCATAGACACCAACATCCAGCCAGGGCCCTCCAGACCGTGCCAGGCTGCCCCAATCCGCTCCTCACCCTCATGAACTGGTCTTTCCCCTATTGGTTCAAACCCTGGGCAGCACCTCAGGACCTTTCCTGTGCTCTCATCTGGTCTCCTTCAGTTTTTATCTCCTACCTTCCTTGAGCAGCCCATCGCGTCAAAGCAATGCACCCTCCCCAGTCTCCCTGTGCTCTGCTACCAGGAACCCTGATGCAGTTGGCTGGGATTCTGTGTGTGTGTGGTGCTGGGGATGGAGCCCAGAGCCTCGGGCATGGCTAGGAAAACACTTGACCACTGAGCTACGCACCAGCCTTTGGTCCCTGTGGATTTACCCTGCTCCTTGTTTCTCTCCCAGACCAGAAAGTCAGCCTTACCGGAGGAAAGGTCCACTTCCTTACTCTCTGTTCCTTTCATGGAGAATAATGTAGACTTGAAAATCAAAGTAAAATATTTTTTAGTGTGTGAAGGAAGCCCTTTGTGGTGGCACAAGCCTGTAATCCCAGCACTTGGAAGCGGAGGCAGGAGGATTACAGGTTCAAGGCCAGCCTGGGCAACTTAGGGAATTAGGGAGACTGTGTCTCAATATATAAAAATAAAAGGGGCTGGAGATGTAGCTCAGTATGACGGCCCTAGAGCCCAGTACCACAAGAAAAATTTTAAAAGGAATAAACCCTGACATAGCTGGCTGTAGTCGTGTACTCCTGTAATCCCAGCATTTGGGATGCTGATGCCAGAGGACCAGCACAAATTGAAGGACAGGGTGGACCACACAGTGAGACAGTGTCTCAAGAAAAAGAAAAAAAGAACCCCAACATGATAAGTGGCAGGGTTGCCCCTGAGCCCACATCCACTTTCCCAGGCTGCAGGCCAACTTCACCATCCGGGAAGATGCCAACCCCAGCTCCCGCCAGCGAGGGCTCAAGCGTTTCCAGGTCAACCCAGAGGCCAACTGGGGGCCCCGGCCCCGGGCCCGGCCAGGGTGAGTGAGTAGCTGTGGCTACAGCCATGGGATGTGGCTCGGTCAGGGCTAGATGTGGTCCCGGTTTCTGGTCTGTGCACAGGGGCAAGAATGCGGGCAAAGCTGAGGAGAGGCGCAGGCTCCGGCAGAATAAGCGGAAGGAGCTGGCCGAGGATCCAGCCCGGCAGGCTGCTCGCCTTAAGATGTTTCCTTGCAAAAGGTTCAAGGAGGTAAGGTGATGCCTCTGTCCCCACTGCTGGCCACAAGGGCTCTTCCCAGTGGGCAGGCAGGCAGGCAGGCCTTGGACAGCCCAGCTGGGCAAGTGGTTGGGGCTGCTGAGCTCCTGTAGGCCTCACTCATAGCTACCATCCTCCCACCAGGGCACCTGTGACCGAGGAGACCAGTGCTGCTATTCACACGGCCAACCCACGCCTGAAGCCTCTGCCACCCCCGCAGACAGTGCGGAGACCTCCGACCAGAGCTCCTGTGTAGGCTGAGCCAATAAAGAGATGTCACACTGCACCAATTGTCATCCCTTGGGAGGGTGTGAGACAAGGTGTCGCTCTATAGCTCAAACTGGCCTGGAATTCACAGGCATCCACCTGCCTTAGCCTTCTGAGTGCTGGGATTACAGACATGCGTGCACTACCGCTCCCAGCGGCGATTGTCGTTCTGTGTGGGGCTGCTGGCTGCCTATCTGCACAGCTCTGGCTGCAGGATCTTCTTGCCTGTTTTACCTCTCCAAGAATTCTGTATCTGCTCATCTGGGGGCCGTTTGGACCCTGTCAGTTTGTTGGGGGAGTTGGGTGCTGGCCATCTACGAGGTCCCTCTGGAGCCAGCCCAGCTGCCCCCTGCGGTTCTCCAAGCGGCCACTGGGCGGCAGCCCGGCACGCCCGCACCAGGGACTCCTTCCCCGCCCAGTACCCGCCCCCCCTATGGCCCCCACGTGTCTACCCGCCGCCTGGTTCCTTCAGCCCGGCTCTCCAGGGGCGCAGCGGCGGAAGCCGGACCGGAACCAGGCGCCCTGCGCATCCGCTCCAGACCAGGTGCTTCCTGCCCTGCGGTCAAGGGCAGTGCACAACGCCAGGGACCCAGCAGGCTGCCGCCTGAACCCCCAGCGAGGGGAAGCCGCACCCCCTCCCTTCGAGCAGGGTTAGCAACACAGAGGCGGTCTAGCCAGGACCCAGCATGTGCTGCCTCAGGCCCACTATAAAGTGAGGCCCGTCGTGGGGTTGAAACTGCTTGGGGGGCAGTGGGGTGAGTGAGGGCAGGCTCTTGGGCTTCACCCATTTGGGGAGGGTGCGGGTAGCAGTGTTGGTGCTGGGGGGAGCAGAGGACTCCTGCCCTGAACCAGGTACACTGCCCACCCAGGGTAAAGCATGGCTAACTGTGGGGCACAGCATGAGGAACAGTGGCCTTGGGGCTACCTGGATAAGGGACAGTCCGCTATACCAGAGCCCCTTGCTTTGTGCTTACATGGGATCTTGAACACACCTTGCACTCCAGTATACATGGGCCCTGTCCTGTGGGACATGGGTGAGGTTCGCGTCCAAGTTGGGGCTTGTGGGTGGGCGTGGCATCACCAGGCTGTAATCCCAGCGCTTGGGAGGCAGAGGCAGAAGGATCTCCAAGAGTTCGAGACCAACTTGAACTACATACCAAAACCCGAAATCAACGCCAAAAAAATAAAAAGTTGGGGGTCTGTGGCCCATAGTTTCAAAATTGTGGGGACTTTTGGGGCAATTATTGGAAGGTCCCTAGAAAATCAACCCTATACCCACCCCCAACACACACCTTCCTGGGTCTGAAAATGTGTGGAGAGTGCCTGGGGTGCCTGTCGGACGGGCCATCCGATGCCAGGCTATCGGCACTGGGCCCCGCACTCCCTCGGGGGTGGAAGAGAAGCAGGAGGGGCAGTGTGAAAAGAGGAACTGGGAAGGGTGCTGTGAGGAGGAGGGGAGGGCTCCGGGGTCACGGGGCCTCAGCGGCCAGAAAGGGCCCCCTCCCCCGCAGCCACAAGGACACGGGCAGGGGGTGTTCAAACCAAGGAGCAGACGACTCCAGACGCCGAGGCTTCCCTGCCTCGGTTTCCCCTCTGCACGCAGCCGGGCGCCTCCTGCAGGCGGTGCAGAGGGCGGAAGGCGAAGCTTGGGGTGGCGGCTGGAGGCAGGGCCAGGCCTTCGAGGTCCCCGCCCGCCGGTTTCCTCCGGGGTCAGCACGGCTCCTTATCAGGCGCGGCCAGGCGTCCCGGGCCCTTATCTGCGCGGCCCAGCATCCTCTGGCCGCCAGGCCGGGGCGAGGGAGGAAACTCGGCCGCCAGGGGCGGGGAGAGGGTGGGCAGGCCGGAGCTGCGCACTTTCACGGGAGCCCACGCCGCCAGCGCCGCCGCCGGGCCCTCAGGAGCGCAGCGTCCGAACCGGACAGCCGACCGAGGCCTGGCCCAGACCGCAGGCCCCGAGGGACAGAGCCCGGCGCTCACCAGGCTGCCAGGACTGTGCTGGGGTAAGAGGGCACCGCCTGGGACCCTGCCTGCATTTCTGCATTCACTCGTTCATTCATTCATCCATTCATTCATAACCTGGGAGCCACTAAGTGAGGGGCCAGGCCATTTCCCACAGCCGCGGAAGACAGGCCGGAGGAGGCAGGAGTCCCACAACCCGTGGGTCACTCCAGGCCCTGGAGCCCAGCAAACGGGTGTTAAGGCAGGGTGCAGCGGGGTGGGAGCAGGCCCAAAGCCAGAGCACAGCTGGGGCATGACTGGACGGGACTTGGTAGCGTCGGGGTCTCAGAGCCAGCCTTTGGGTCACAGCATCGGGAGTGGGGCCACAGGGCTGGTAAGGGGGACATCTCCAGCACGGGGGAGGTGGCCGTGTCGGGAAGAACCTGGACTCACAGTGCATAGCAAGGAACCAGCTTGGGGAGAGAAGGCGTCAGAGTCAGTGTTAGAGGGACCCCAAGGCCACATGGCAGCAAGGAGTCAGTGAGGGCCAACAGCCAGGTGTGGTGGCACTTGCTTGTCACCCCAGCACTTGGGAAGCTGAGACATGAGCATCACCATGGTTCAAGGCCAGCCTGGGCTATATACTGAGCTCAAGGTCAACCTGAACTACATATTGAGACCCTGTCTCAAAAAACAGAGAGGGAGAAAGAGAGAGGAGGGTCTCAGGATCAGAAATACAGATCTGAGGGTTACAGGTCATTGTCAGGGTTCAGGGTGATCCCAGGGCCAGAGGGCATTCTGGAAGCGGGGAAGTGTGTGCAGAGACAGCCTGGCAGGCCCAGTGCCGCCCAGCCCCCTGCCAGCCCCCTGCTCTGATGGAGGACCCCTCCCATACGGCGGTGGTTTCTGAATTCAGCCTTCTCTGTCTCTAGCTGAGCCTCTCTAGCCCCTCTTTCCTTCCTTCGCCCCCTTCCACAAGGTTCTGTTAGGCTAAGCAGGTGGGGGAGACGGCACCAGCCTTCCTCCCACCTGGTGGCCTTCTCCCCACAGGTGAGCACCCCGTCCTTGGGTCCATGTGCCCACCCCAGGCCCAGGCAGAGGTGGGTCCCACCATGACAGAGAAAGCCGAGATAGCGCGTGCTCCCAGCCCAGCGCCTGCCCCGCCCCCTAAATCTGCTTCACCGGGGCCCTTGCCCCCAGAAGAGCTGGACCACAGGGGCGTCTCCCCCACCAGGCTGCCCCCGGGTGTGCCAGTGATCAGCCTTGGTCACACCAGGCCCCCAGGGGTGGCCGTGCCCACGGCGGAACTGAGCGCCCTTCGGCCACCCTTGCTGCACCTCTCAAGCCTGGGAACTGCCCCGCCCGCCCTGGCCCTGCATTACCACCCTCACCCCTTCCTCAACAGGTCAGTGGGGGCTGGGCTGGGGCTGTGGGAGATGCGGGGTGGAGGGCCTTGACCACAAGGCATGTGTGACTTGCAACCCCTTCCAGTGTCTACATTGGGCCGGCAGGACCTTTCAGCATTTTCCCCAGCAGCCGGCTGAAGCGGAGACCCAGCCACTGTGAGCTGGACCTGGCTGAGGGTGAGTGTGTATGTGTGTGTGCGTGTGCGTGTGTGTGCGCACATGCGTGTCCGTGTGTGTGGACACTTGCCGGTGCGTGCACACATATATAGGGGGCAGGCACACAGGTCACACCCAAGTGCAAGCCCATAGTCCCACAGCCAGCGTCACTCAGGCATTGCCACCAGCAAGCCAAGTGTCAGAGCAAAACCCAGCAGGTCCTGGCCTGACGTGGGAGCCCCTAATAAGACACAGGCTGGGAACCAGAGTCACCCAGGTCACAGCCACACAACCACACAAGAGTCAGCCACACAACCACAGCCATGCATGCAACAGCCACAACCACATGGCAACCATCACACACAACCATAACCATCAGACCACAAGTCCCCCAGCCACGTCACAAACTAGGAGAGAGACTCACAAGACCACGAGCCACTGAAGAGCAAGGCTCGCAGGCATAGCAGCCCTGGCGGCTGCAGTCTGGGCCCGTGGTACTTCTCTGGGTGCTTTGGGGTGGGTGGCTGCACGTGGATACTTTGGATACAGCAAGTCCCAGCCCACTGCCGGGGGTTTAAGTCCCCACTAGGGTGCCGCAGTGAGGACAGGAGGGGAGCCCCTGGGAGCCTGGCCCCAACCCCGTCTGTCCTGTGCGCAGGGCACCAGCCCCAGAAGGTGGCGCGGCGCGTGTTCACCAACAGCCGCGAGCGCTGGCGGCAGCAGAACGTGAATGGTGCCTTCGCTGAGCTCAGGAAACTGCTGCCGACTCACCCGCCCGACCGGAAGCTGAGCAAGAACGAGGTGCTCCGCCTGGCCATGAAGTACATCGGCTTCCTGGTGCGACTGTTGCGCGACCAGGCAGCCGCCCTGGCCTTAGGTCCCGCCCTGCCTGGGCCGCGAAAACGGGCCGCGCACCGAGGCCCCGGCTCGGGACACAGCGCCGAGGCGGCTGCGGCGGCGCGCGCGCAGCCCTTGGTGCCGGTGGACTCCGACGGCAGCGGGGTGGCCCGGCCCATCAAAATGGAGCAAGTAGCCCAGAGTCCGGAGGTGCGGTGACCTTATGCGGCGGCGGCGTCTCTGAGCCGGAGGGCCCTGGAAACTCAGTCCAGAGCCGTTCAGGCAAAGGGTGGACGCCGCGCATCGCTGCTCTGAAACGAGCCCCTTGGACGACAGAGGAGTGAGGACGTCTCCAAAAGGGGAGCGGTCCTGGGGATCTGAAAAGGGCAACTGTCGCCCCCAGGGTCCCTGCAGGCTGTTTTTTAAAAACCGCTGGAAGTAGCCTTGCTTGTGCTCCCGTCCTGGGGGCTAGGTCATGGAACAGGTTAAGTGGTCTCGGACTCACGTGGTGCCTCGTTTTTCTGGGCCCGGGTCGCTGGAGGAGACAGTGAGGGGCTGGGAAGCCATCGCCTTCCCACTGGCGCCCCCTCCCGGCGGCCGGAGGACAGGCTCCCTGGACGGCGCGGCCGCTGGGGACCCAGCGTGCCCCACCGACTCCACTTCACCCCGCGCGATCGCGTCTGGGAAGGCTCAGGCACTGTTGCTTTTTTTTTTCTTTATTTCTTTATTTCACATACACATTAGCCATTCAATGGAGAAGCCAGAGAGTCAGGCAAAGATGGTATAACAGAAGCGCAGTGACGGGGCGGGGCGGGGCGGGGCGGGGCGAGAGGGGACAGACGGGCTGGCTACTTGCATTCCGCTAGGACACTGAAAACCCAGAAAACAAAACAGACAGTAAACTACCCTTGTTTCTTATGTATCTCAGTGCAGAGACGGGGCGGAGGGCAGAGGGGACCAGGCTGAAGGAGGAGGCGCAGAGGGAGGGGCGCTAAGGGGAAGCACACCAATCCATTAGTACTATATATAGAGATACTCGTATATACTGCGTTTCTTAGCCTAAGAAGAAACTTGTTTGACGGGACGGGCGGCCTTGCGGTCCGCAATGCTGGTGCTGGTCGGGCGCACGGATCTCCCGGGAGGGGCAGAAGCGGGGCTGGCCCAGGCTGGCTTGCGAGGGGATGGGGGCGCCCCGAGAGTCGGGGGGAGCAGAGGCGGGGCTGGGGTGCCCCTCGGGCTCTCGATTGGGGGACAAAAGTTCTCGTGACTTTATTGCTCCTTTATTTTCTCTCGTGTGTGTGTGTGTGTGGGGGGGTGTCCGTTCGGCACGGTCGGGGTGGAGAAGCAGTGGGTCGTCTGAGCCACCAGGCCCCTCTGGGTCCCAGAGCGCGGCGTCCGCTCCGCCAGCACGGGGGTGAGAACAAGGCACTAGGTCGGCCGGCCAGCGCGGGGCGGGTGCGTAAGGCAGTCACGGGCGGGCGGGCGGGGCGGGGGCTGTGCGGCCGTGTGCGTGCGGGCGGGCGGGCGCGGGCCTGGGCCGTCGGCCTGGCGGGGCCTGTCCTGGAGCAGCGAGCCTCGGGTGCTCCCGGGGGCGGGACAGGAGGAGTGATGTCGCGTGGGGCGCCGGGGAGGGGCAAGGGGATGGGAGGAAACTACCAACTTGCTGAGCGCGCTCCTGATAATGCTGGTGAGGGTCAAGTTGGCGTCTGGCTCAAAGAAGGGCGCTCGGGGTGGGGCGGGAGGGAGGGAAGGGGACGTTTGTTCGTTGGCATTG